TGAAAACAAACAAACAAACAAAAAAGCAGACCAAATTACAGATCCCCAACAGATCCCAGGTGTTTCAGATTCAGTACTTCCTGACATAACTTCAGTCACATTCCAGCATGTATGCCAGAGAAACTACATGTATTTATTCTCCTCAGATTATTTTTTCCCTTTGCCCATTCCTGGAATTTCTTCTCCTTTCCCAGCCTCAACAACACTGGCTTGTTCATCTCAAAATTTTCACTTGGCAATCTCTTTCATCCCTTGTACCCATGCTTACACTACTTCACTCTCCCATGCCAGCAGTTGATTTCCGTAAGGTGTGGATTCAGATATATATACATAGAAGTCCATCACCCCCATCACTTACCTGTTTTTCAGGCCCCAGAGCAGGAGAGTCAGTTTCCAAGCACATACTTTCCAGAGGTAACAGCTTCACAAGCTTCTGCTTCTTGAAGAAAATAAGACAGCTATTAAACACTTTATGTACTTAGACCTGTGGGGAAAAAAAAATGTATGAAGGGAGAATAGCCTCTGCATTTAAAAGGAATGTCAGAAGACTTTGGTGCCAGCGTCTGCATTTTATCAATTTTAGAATGGGAACAAGAATACAAGGAGCTGCTCAAGAAGTCACTTCAAATTAGGATTATCCTGTTTGGTATATACCTGAAGTACTACTATGTAAACACTGAATCCATTGTTATTTATTAAATCACATAGTTATCTTGCACAAAGTACTCTATATTTAAAGTTGCCAATGCAATTTTAATTTGCTTTTTCTTTATATATACTATTTGTGTACCTTTTTCCTATCTCTTCTTTTACCCTTCAATCCCAGAGTTTTTTTCCTCCAAGTTCCTAACCTCATCCCCATCTCTATCCATCTCTCACACCCCCTCCACTTGAATCATGCCTTTTCCTTTCTTACATTTCCTGAGCTTATCACAGAAAGTGATGATGGTGCAGCATGGAAACTGACTGCTATGCCAAAATAGGAAGTCAGTATAGCTTGCAGCAGTCCAGAGTAGAAATTAAAAGAGCAGTCTCACTAAATCAAGGGCCTAACCTGACCAATGCCGTCTTTAAGCAATTTAGCTGCTTCTTTGCTGGGCACACGTGATAATCACAATTTTCCAAAAGTCTGTCTGTAATTTAGCCAATTGTGAGTAGATTTCCCTTTGAACAGAAAGTGCCATAGCACTGAGATAGAAACTAGTCCTTTTCCACATGTCATATCCCTACTCTAAAACAGTACAGGGACAGAAGCTTCCAGAGAAGAGTTCACCAGAAACCACATTAAAATGAGAAAAAAAATGCCTATTCTCTTAACTTTTTATTCTCAGGAATAGCTGAACTGTTTTAGCCAAAAATTCCCCCCCAAATGTCTAGCTAAAGCAAAAGCCCCAGGTAGAAATGTAGCCAAAGTAAAAACATGCAATGCTATAAGCAACTGGAACTTTTATTGAGAAGTGTCAGGTGACAGCAACCGTACGTGAGTACTGCCAGTCCCACTTCCAACTGTACAGACTTAAAAAACAAGCATATTCCTGAGCTGCCCAGTGAAAACAGTCATGCTTGCTGTCAAGATAATCCGTCAGCTATTACCTGCAATCCCCAAGCACTGAGACAGACCAAACCCCTTTAAACATTACCTGTTCACTCCTTATAATAGAAGGAGGAATGGAGAAGTAGTATCCAGCTTTTACGCCTTCCATCGCTACAGATGGCTTCCCATCAAATGCATGGAGCAACACCTTTGTAGCACCTCAGACAAAAGAAGCAAACCAAATCATTAGCAGTGTTTATCATAGGTCTGGGATGTCAGCTTCCAATGGGACCTCGGTCCCATAAAGAATGAATACAGAATCTCTGCACTATTCCTCACAAGTTTCATGTACACAAACTGATGTGAAGTCACGGCACAATTAAAGACACTCTATTGACAAAAGCCATGATGGAGAGAATGCATTGAAAACATACCTTGTTCCTTTAGGAGATTAATAGTTGGCCTTCCAGCTGAGCGGGAATGCACATTTCTGCACAGCAAGGAGAGGCTCAGCATTAGGGAATTCAGCAAAATACTTTTTTTTTCGTAAACACAAATGAATTAACAATTTGGGATGAAAATAATTAATCTGTATTACACCTTTTATCAGGAAAAAAAATCTAGATACGTATATATGAATCATTTTAGCTACAGTGAAGATATAGCAAAAACATAGCGAGGACAGGACACAGAAGATCACTGTATGCAAGTATATGCAGTACGAAAAATTCTATAATAAAATATCAAACTGGAGACTGACAGGACACCAATGCCATTTTAATCCATGTAAGAAAAGTTCTTGGTAACTATAAATCCTGGGAATATTTCCACATGTTACTGAAATCTGGCAAATTCTCCTACTAGTATAAACAAAACCTACAAAGGCAAATCCAGTCTTCTTGCTAACTCAATCTGCTTGATCAAAACCTGTCTTTGTCCTTCCTTCTGTTCATCCATGCTGGCAAATCTGGGAGTGAAATCTAGTCCAACCTACAGTACAAGAAGAGAAGTGAGAAAAATGTACAGACCTAATGCTTGACTAAACCACAATACCATCTATAAAGGCAAAAAAAGCTTCAAAACTGCAAGCCATTTCAAAATATATATACTAGAGACTGCAGTTAAAATGAGCTCAACTGTAGCTCTCTCAACTCAGAAAGGCATCCATTCTCAACCATAAGCTTTTCAACTATGAAAGCATCTATGGGCAGACAGTCACTAACAAGTATATTTAACATTTTAATCTGTAACTGGTTTTCTCGGGGGTTATATTCTATTGAATATTATTTCAGACTAAATCTCTAATCTGGATCTCCAATACAAGTAAAATTTCTGACTTGAACCTGTAGCTTTAGTCCCATCTCCAACAAAAATTACTTATTAATTCTATACTTTTTTGATTTAAACACGTTCAGGCAAAATTTAAAGTTTGTCAAAGCAGCCCCATTCACAGTTACACCAACAAAAGTCCTTGATATACAGTAGAAGTACAACACGGCAAATTTAGCTACAAACCTAAGTAGCTGCTTTTTCTACAGCCAGTAGAGAACCAGTCGTAAGTCCCTCTAGTACCCACACACAAAAGAGGCAGGACTCTACCCTAAAGCTTTCAAGCCTCAATCAGTTTATAAACAAATATAAGACAGGAGGCAACACATGAAGGCAGACAGATGAGGCAATACGAGAAAAAAGGACTATACAAGTCAGTGAGGTGTACTGAAATCATAGCTTCACCTAACTTTTTCAGGGAAGAAGGCAGGAAGGATCTGAATGAGGATAACATTGTGAGTCAACACTTCACTGTGCCAGAGAACAGGTCAAAAGACATATGGGTATAAGAAGATATAGCATAATTATGTAATCTAAATCCACCAGCATAAATGTCATCTATTTCCTAATAATGATAATGAAGGAAAAGAGGGAATCAGGCAAGTCTCTGAAGGAAAGCACATTAAGAGAGTTGCAAATCAGACTTTGCGCTTGTTCAGACTGATACCAATACCTATTACATATACAAAACCAAGCATTCACTAAGTTTCTGTAATTTTGGTGACAGATGCTGCTGAAGCCACAGACAATTAAACAAGGTACAGAATTCTACTTACTTCTCCAATCCCCACCAATTTATCTTTGTAGAGTTCTATAAGCGGCAATGCAGCATCCAGATCCTGCAAGAACAAATTAAAATGCAACCATCGCTGTCCTTTCAAGATGGAAGGCGCATGAACTCAGCATTAAGAGTAACTGGAGTTTCCTTTGTTGTCCTTAAATTCTGTACCTTAAAACCTGCTGTTACTGAGACCTGTGGGGTCAGATGCATTTTAGAAACCTGTTAAGATTTCCCTCCTTTACCTGCTGACCCTTCATTTCAAGTTATCTTTCCACAGTAAATAAAACAAGGCCCATAAAAAGCCTGGTAACATTAAATGGCTGCAAACAGCTCTCCAAGTTTTTCAGGCTAAGGGCACAAAGGCTCACCTTCCACTTCCCATGCTAGTAAAGGGACATCTGCCAACACACACGCGTGCTGTTAGCTGTAACCAAAGCACTCGCTTGGGATTTTTAAAACTCACTGCAGTAACCTGGCCAGATGACTCCAGTGAACAATTCTGCTTTAGGACTAACAGGGACAAATGGATGTGCTAGGCTACCCTGGGATTTGGTCCGCTGAGTCTTCTGTATTCTGAAGCACAGAAAAATCACTGGGCAGATCTGAAGTTAAATCAAGCAAACCAGAGCATCCCTTCGCCTGCCCTGAGCAATCCCAGCACTGTTTTATAGCTTCACTAATCTAATTTGCCAGCAGTTTACCTTCAAAGTAACGCTGCGCTGCTCCTCTGGCGAAACCTCCTGAACCGGATGAACTCCCAGGCACGGCAAGACGAACCCTGGGAACCTGGACTCGGTACAGTTACCAGCGGTGTGAGAAACCGCACGAAAAGCGAGTTTAAAGCCAAAAAAGAACGGCTGGCCCGAGCGAGGAAGAGGGCAGCGCGTCCCGCGGCACATCCCACGCCGCCAGCCGCTCCCGCCGAGGCGCGGACCCCGCGGCCGGGAAGCAGGTGGGCGCCGGGCACCCCCCCCCCCCGCCCCGCCGTCCTCGCACCTCTCCGACAGCTCCACGACGCTCTGGAACTCCCCCGCCTGCTCCGACACCACCAGCAGCGCCGACACGGCCGCCTACAGCGGAGAGAAACCCCCGCCCCGCTGAGGCCGCGGCGCTGGGGCCGGGCGGGAGCGGGGAGAGGGTGGCTGCCAGCCGCCTCACCTGCTCCGCCTCCCGCACCACGGCCTCCACGTCCTGCGAGAGACACACACACCACCTCAGTGCCGGGGACGGGACGGGACGGGACGGGCCGCGCCGCCGCCGCACCCGCCCACACCCACCCTCCCGCGCCTCACCGCCTGGAAGCAGGGCGCGGCGAGGTGGCAGTGGCAATCCACCGGCCCCACCGCCGCCGCCGCCATGCCGCGCCCGCGGCTGAGGGGAAGAGGCGGGGAGGCCGCGGGTTTCGCTTCCGGGCCGGCATTTTCCCTGCGACCGAGGCGGAAAATGGCGGCCGGCCCGGCGCCGCCGCTGTTGCCGCCGCCGCCGGGGGATGGGGAGGAGGCGGCCGCCGCCAGCGCCCGGCGGGACCCGCGGGTGCGGTGCTGCTCGGGGCGCGGCCTGAGCGAGGTGATGGCGCTCTGCGCGCCCTTCGTGCGGGCCCTGGCCCAGGGGCAGCCGGGCGGGTCCCCCGCCGCCGAAGACGTGCTGTGGGTGAGGCTGAGGGGGGAGCGGGGCTGCGCTGCGCTGCGGGGTTTCGCCTCCGAGCTCTCTGCCGGGGCCCCACGGCGTCGGCCCTTTTAGCTTAGCGGGTTTGTGTCGCGGTTTTCTCCGAGGTGGCCAGCCCGGGCAGGGCGGTGAGGCAGGAGGGGCCTTTCCAGGTGCAGACGCCGCGGACCGGTGCCCGAAGGACGGCTTCTCAAGCTCTCCCCTCTCTTTCAGATCTTCGAAACGGCGGTGCGGGAGAACGTTACCATTAATGGGCAGCCCTGGGAGGAGACTTTGGGTGACTCCCAGCTGCAGAGCGGTATGCGGTGGTTTCCATTAATTTCCTGCTGGATGGTCTTGTTTTGGTTTTTGCATGTGCTACTTTTAATACTAGGGCAGTTTTTCCCCCAGCTGTCTGAGGTGGTAAGGATGCTCACGGAGCAGGTGAAGTCAGCCTCCAGCAAGAGCACAATTCTCACAGAGCAGTGTTCGTAAATGAAGGGTAACCAAGACGTGTAGGGTCCTGTATCCAAGAGAAAAGGAAAGGGTAAAGTGCTTTATCTGAAGAACCGTTGCTTGTTTGACATTTCTGTCAAGATCCTTGCAGATCTTGGGGCAAAAGTTCCAGCTATTACTAGTGTGGTGCCTACCTAACTTATAGGATCTGCTCTAGACTACTAGAGAAAAGTAGCTTAGACTCCCAGCGTGTCTGGTAGTAACATGGGAAAAATAAAGGTTTAGCTACGTTTAATGGCAGCTGTCTTGCTGGAAAGTCTACAGCAAGCTTTTTAGAAAGTTGGCATTTCAGAGCAAAATATTTCATTCGGGAGGTGTAGTGTACTATTTCATCAGCTTCTCTTATCTGAACAAAGGAAGTATACAACGTTTAATGGAATGGGGTAAGATGGTCTATTCTTAAAGCTAGAACACAGCAATGAGATCCAAGTCTGGAGGCTTCCCACTCTCTCTGGGCAGTCAGTGTCTGCATTTGACCGCCCTGATGGTGAAAATTTTCCTTCCTGTAGCCTATGGGAATTTACTTTACTGTAACGTATCTGTTGCCTCCCGTCCTTTTGCTGCACGCTTCTGAGAAGAGCTTGCCTTTCTCCTCTCTAGAACCATCCTTTAGGTAGCTGAGGGTAGCCATTAAATTACCCTCTAGCCTTCTCTTCTCCAGGCTGAATAAACCCAGCTCCCTCAGCTGCTTCTCATACCTCATGTACTCTGGACGCCAACCCTCTTGGTGTTCTTCCATTGGAATTGCTCCAGTATTTAATGCCAGTCTCCCAGAACATCCAAGCAGGGATGTTATGGTCTAGGTATATGAGACTCCTGGCTAGATCATTGAGCTGAGAGGGTCATATTTAATTATTTAATGGTTCATACTTTTACCTCAGGGCTGATTACAAGCAGAGTTCCTCAGGTGTCTGCTCTGAGACCCGTTCTGTGCAATGCCTTTATCCATGACCTGGAGGAGGAGAGGGAAGGTGCCTTCACCTCTTTGCAGCCGACATCTGCCAGGGTGTCATGAAGTAAATGTGCTTGAGGGCAGGCCTGCTCAGGGGATCATAAACAGGCTGGAGAAACGTATCTGTGGGAATCTTGTGAAATTCAACAAGAACAAAAAGCAAAGCCCTAAATCTGGGAAGGGGCAACCCTCTGCAGGGGTACAGGATGAAAAGGACCTGGGGCTATGGGTGGACTAATGCTGAGCCAGCCTAGTATATTGTGTTAACAGGATTGTCGTCAGCAGATCCAAGGAAATGATTATTTGTTTTTACACTGCACTTACTAGAGCACATCTGGAGTAGTGCACTCATTTTTGGACTCCCCAGTATAGAGACATTATTGGTAAACTGGAGTGAGTTCATCACAGGCTGCCAAGACGGCCAGGGGACTTGGAGTGCTTGCCATTGAGTTGAAGCTGAAGGAACTGGGCTAGTTTAGCTCAGAGAAGACAAGCCAGCCTTCCAGTACCTATGAGGGGATTACTGAGAATATGTAGCCAGGCTGTTTATTGAGTTCACAGAGGCAAGGGTCATAAATTAAAAGGAGAGGTTCTAACTTAATGTAAGGAAGTAAAAATTCGCTATTAGGATAACTGAGCATTGGAAAAGGTTGCCCAGAGAGCTTGTGTAGCCTCCAGCACTGGAAGCTTCCAGGAGCCAACTGGACAAAAGTGTACCGAGCAACCTGTTTTGAATTGGGTGTTGACCCTGTTTTGAGCAGGAGGTTTGAGTCACGAGAGCCCTCTTGAGGGCTGTTCCAGCCTGAATGACCTCATGTTGGGGACATTGGTCGAGATCTCTTCCTGACTAATATGTTTGTTGCTACTAATTTACAAATTAAGTAAATACTTAAAATTGCTATATAGCCATATATTTATATGTAATATATACAATATGTTTATAATTATTGTCTTTTGAGGTAATTGTTGTGGAGATTCTTGGTATCTGGTGTCCAAAGGAAATTTCAACGTGATTCATTTGCTCACCTGTGTTAGCGTTAGATGTTCTTTGCCTCCGACTTGATGCTTTTTACACTTGCACAAAGCTGAAAATACAGCTATATTGAGCTGGCTATGGAGAAAGAGCTCCTTGAACTGTTTTTTGGTTAGGCAGCTTCTGCAGTTGTAGTTCTAGAATGGTAAAACTCCAGCTCCTTTGACTACAAGGTCAAAAATGCACTGGTCTCACAATGCAAAATGCTGAACTGATTCAGGCTCACTTCACTAATTCAAATTTGTTCAAAAATTCTTGACAGGAAAACTTTGCCTAGATGGATGTTATTTTCAGTAAATTATCCTTTGTCTGTACAAGTCTAACTTTATGTCAGATCAGATACTGTCATCTTCCTACAGCTGGCATAAAGCAGGTGTAAGGACTGTATTGTGCCTTTTAATTTGACAGAAATTTACTCATATGCTTATCTCTGATCCAGTTTGAATTACCAAGTGATCTGGCGTTTTGTGCCTTCGGTGTTTAATCTAACCAGTGGCTTGAGACTTTCCTCTCTATACTTAAATGATTTCATGGTGATCCTAAAACAAACACACAGGACAAACCCACAAACTCTTAAAACCTTGATTTTGCCTTTGAGGTTCACAGTCGCCTGATTCTGCACCAGTTGACCAAGAGAGGGTGCTCAAAATCCATTCTTTACCACCAGATTGTAAACAGCATGGCTTGAAAGTTGTGCTTAACATGGTAGCAGTAACAGTAAATTTAAATGCTAAGAAGTTTGCAAAATTAAATTAAAAAATAAAAAAACAAGACTATTGTCAGTGTTTCAGATCTCCACTGGAGGAGAAAAATTAGGGGAGTGAGCAGATGGAAGAATATAGAAATATGCACTACATTTCAGTTACAGTTAGAATATAAGATTGAGCAGTTAAGTCTGTTTTCTTCTATAACTCTTTTATAGTTTGTGATGATGACATTTGATGTCAGGAAAGTGCAGGCATTTACTTATCTACATTTTGAAACCAGCTTTTAACATTGTTAAGTTTAATTGCAATCTTGGAGAAGCTAGGTGCCTTTAGTAAGATAACAGTACTAAAAACACCGGTTGACAGTTGAAACTATGTTCTAGGTATTTAGTCTAATCTCAAGGTTGGAAAAGCAAGTTATTAAAGTTAGCTCCTGCCACATACAGTCCCTTCGGCCTCAGATGTTGAAAGCAGACATGCTTTGGTTTTTTGCAAACTATTTGTGACTAATTACAGATGTCATCAGAATGCAGTGTTTCCAGGAATCCCGTTTCATTAAAGTGGTGCTGTATATTGTGATATTAAACTGTATATTTATGTTTTATATGTTATAAAATCAGTTAGTCTTCAAATTACTGTTTGGACAGTTGGTGTTTGTTTAATGCTAGTAAATTGCATCATTTTTCTTGATGCATCTTGCTTTCCTTCCGTTGAAAACCAAGTTATCTCAACAGGTACCCATTTCTTTGTGAGACTTTATTCATAGATTCAGACTTCATAGAGAAATAAGGTTTTGATTTTTTTTTTTTTCCCCAGGTGGTTTTCTGCCTCCCCATCCCTGCCCCCCAGCTCATTTACTTCAAAAGTAACTGGCAAGTGTAAAGTTGCACTCCAATTTCTGTATCACCTTAACAAGGAGATTCAAGACATATTTAGGTCCTCTTTGATAGTCATGTATGATTTCCTATTTCAGATCTAAAGCGCTTTTTTTTTTTTTGTCTCAAATTAAAAAAAAAAAAAAAAAGTAGGAGAGTTCCTAAATAACTCTGTGTGTCTGTCATTTTTAGGTTCCAGCCTTAAAGTTCTTGAAGATCGATTTGATGAACTAATAGTAGAGACAACAACAAAGCGTAAGCAGTGGCCTAAAAAGATACTGATGCATGCTATCCAGACTATGAAAGCAGAGCAAGAGATGTTGGTGAGTAACCTCAGATTTTCAGAAAACCTTTGCATATGGTAGCTGCTGACCTTGTGTAACTTGAAGAAGTAAGTCATCCAGTGTTGACCTTTAAGCTCCTTCCCATAGTTGCTTTTGATTCTTTGTCATACAATGAAATTGGGTTTTGCATTAATTGGTTCTTCGGTAAAATGAGGGTTACTACAGAGCCTTGTGACCATGAGTGAATTGGGCCTGTGGCACAGTGCAGCAAATTATTTAAGCAGATTGTTTCAACCTGATGATTGACGATTTACAAGCCAGTATACACCTATTTATCATGTCAAATCTGGGTTTCTAAAATCCTTGGCTGAAGGCTGGTTGAAGTACTAAATGTTATGATACATACATACAGATATTATCATGTGTGGTATATGACTGTTAGAAAGATGTCTGTGTTTTCCTAAGTGCTTTTGTTGAGCTAGTAACTACATTGAGTAAGTACTTTCAATAAAGAAATAAAAAAAAAATTAATAATATGGATTAATGAATAGATGCAGTAATTTCTCTGTTTTTTTGACACTGAGTGTAAAGTACTTACTGGCATCAAACAACCCAATCGTGTCCTTGGTTGCTAAATTTCTTTCCTGCACTTACATTAGGCCTGCCTTTTGCTTACCTGCCAATTAATTAGAGTCAGTTTCCTTTAGAAAAAAAAAAAAAAAGACAAGAGACAGTGGACACAAGCAGAAGTACAGGAAATTCTATTTAACCATTGGAAAAAAAAAAAAAAAAAAGAACTGTGAGTGTAGTCAAACACTAGCACAGGTTGTCCAGTGAGATTAGAATCTCCATCCTTGGAGTACTCAAAACCTGACCAGATGAGGCCCTGAGCAACCTGCTCTAGTTGGCCCTGCTCTCTGTAGGGGGTTGGACTAGACCATCTTTAGAGGCCCTTTCCAACCTCTATGGTTCTATGCTAAAGAAAGCAGGGACATTTTTTTGGAAAGTTAAGAGCCTGCATTTCATTTTTGAGGACTAAAATTCACAAAAGTAACTATCTAGGTTAGCCAGACACAAATGATTTACAGTAAGTAAAAGTGCATGGGTACATATTTGTCTTAAGCCTGAGGTATTTTCTAACATACATTGCCTTCTGTGATCTCTGTTTTGTCAATATACCAGGTATGTAAAACAAACAAACAAAAAAAAATCCACTAGAATAAAATATGCTATTGCATAACACCGAGATTTAACAAGACCTTTTGATCTTTCTGCAAAATGAAAACTATGTTCTACCTGAGTCCCAAAGTGGATTAGTTATTTAGAATGCCTCTCATGCTACCTTTTTGCTGTTGCTGACCTCTTTAAATTTTACACTGCCACAACTAGATGATTATTTTAATTAAAAATGTCTGCAAAATATAGAAAGTTTTTAGTTTATCTCTGTAAATGAAGTGGCTTTTTCTTCCCCTCTCAGCTACTTTACGAATGTACTAGTGGTTTCTCTGCTTTTGGTTGAGGAGTTTTTATGTTCTTTTTTGACGCTATCTACTCCTGTGATGCCTGTTTTCTGAGGCATAAAGAGCAGCTATGAATTGGTATTTAACTGCAGTTTATCTGCAGAGAACCACTCATTTAGTGTGGTGATGTCTATATAATTGCCAAAGCAAGGGATCATCCTGTAGGTTTTCAGTCAATACAGTCTGTTATGTTTGAGGATAATGCAAGCAGTGCTTGTTCTTCTGCTTGGATCTGTTACTATAAACTTGCTAAGAAGATGTGTGAGCTGTGAAAATTTCTTTGGTAAAACTACAGGGAGGAATAATTAACTTTCCTCCTACTTGTCTTGGTTGAAGAAGGTTGTGTGAGGGACAGTTCCTGAAGTGGAGAAAAACATTAACTCGCAGATAATATCATGTACATGCCCATGTCTTTGCTTTGTTTCCTTTTTTCCTGGTAATCACTTCTAATTCTACCTTTAACATAACTAAATACTAGTTTTATTCATTATTTATTATTAGTTAGCTTCATATCACAATTAACTGATGTCAAGTCACAAGACACAGTAGGACCAGAGAGCTAGAGAGCCTGGTCTGTGAAGGAGAGTGTTCTTATTCATGCATAAATAATTGCAGGGCTAGAATGTAGTCATTTAAACAGTTTTCTTTTTCTTAGTTTTTTGTCTTAATGTACCCTTTGTTTAAGTTTGCTCCTCTGTGAAAGCATACTGTTTTTGTGAATGGCTCCTTGAAAGCCAGAGCAGCTCTTTTTCCTCAGTTGTGCAGCAGGTGGCAATGCTTCTTCCAAAATGCCTGGATTTCAGTTTAGTTCTCATGCTTTAATAATTAGAATTCTGCAAACTGAAGCAGATTTTGGAGATGTGTTTGCAGTGAACTTAACTGTGTTAACCAGAACACTGTTTCCAGTAACTGAGTATCTATAAGCTGTACCTGTCATGCGTTCTTTATCTAAATAATTCCACTGCCATCTTCTTATATTAGCCTTTCTCCATTGTTCTGACTGCTTATGTGTATGTTAGATATTAAACCAAGAGTATATTTCAGAATTTTTCCTCTGGTGTTTTTTTTTTTTTTTTTTAATGCAGAAGCTGTACCAGCCTGTCATAACACCAGAAGAGATAAAGTCACAGCCTTCTCAAGGTACAGATTTCATGGGGAGAGCAACTGTGCTGAGGAAGCACTACCTACCTTACTAGCTAGCTGTAAATGTTTAAGAAGCTTTTTTTAATCTTGTTTAAAATTATTGACTGTTTAAATAATTAACTAAAATAGTTTATCATAACTGAATGTATGTCTAACTGCATGCATCAGTTTGTTGTGCCCCTTTCTCCTCTTCTAAGTGCTGCCTGCTGTTAGGCACTGTATTTAAAGGCAGAAGCGAGCTGCTGTGTGGGTATTGGGTAGGAATTGTCACAGAGCTAACCTCTATAGGTTTTCTTACTTCTTTCCTTCGCCAGTGGTGGAGGCCAGATGGGGAACTAGATGGATCGCTGACATTATACTTTGACCGTTCTTGTGTTTCTTTTACATGAATACTAGAAATGCTTCAGTCTCTCTTCCTAATCAGCCAGTTTCTTCAGGGAATTGAAAGCAGTTGTGTAGTATTCACTGATGGCAGTGTTGACTCTCCTAATTTGCAAAATAGGCATCAAATTTTAACCTGCCTGTGTTATTTGTAAGGGTTGACGAAGAAACAAAACTGCAAACAGTATTGGTAGGTTTGCTACATGCTTTTCAAAGATTCCATCTACAAACTCCTTGGAACAAGGAGGTGTATTTTGCAGTTGGTGATTGGCATGTGCTTTTTTGAGGCTGGCCTTAAGAAATTGAAAGTTTTGTCTTGCCTGTTAAGTATTGAAAATTGACAGAATTTACCGATGCTGTTCTAGGTTTAAAAGCATGGTTACAGAACCCTCACTACGGGTTATTGCACATGATGTAAAGCTGGTGTAACAAGCAGTGGTGTTAAAGTTTGAGAAGCTGAGTTTAATCATCTAGTTCTCACACTGCTGATCTGACTTCATTCTAGGCATCGTTTCCTCTTTGTAAACAGGAGACACTGCTTTCATAAATGCCAGCCTGTGCAGCAAAGCAGCCAAAAAGAGCAGTAAAGAGCGTCACTTCATATCTGGGTTTCTTTTGGTTTCTAGTGACCAGATCTATACTTTTCTGATGTGAATTGATTACATAACAGCTGGCACTATGGTACTGCCTTTTTAGGTTTGGTAACAGCAAAGTCCTAGCCAAGATAGCATCGATTTTGTGCTGAATTTTAGTATTATATAGTCTTTGGGAAGTTTATGTATCCCAGTTTAGCAAGTACAGTGGCCAGAAACCAAAAATGTTTAGATTACTCAATACCTTTCATTTCCTTTTTTCATTTCCCTATGTTTTGGAAAGCCTTGAACACTGAGGAATATAGTGCTGTCCATGTCAAGCTGAACTCCTGCAGGCAAATTTCATTTAACTGTGTGTCAATCTTTCCGTATAACTGGAATTAATCCAAGTAATTATTTTTACTTAACTCCTTTCTTGCTATTTCATAGGGTCACCAGTCTTCTAATACTCTACTGTAAGAATATTTCATTATGGACATACCCTTCTTTTAGAGAATGTCTAATCATAGGCCTCTATGATGTGTTTAAAGAGGCTGCTGTTGGGTTGTTTTTCCTTCCAGACTCTGAATGATGGTGCATTTTAGCATCCATGCTCATACATGGGCTTATGCATTCCTGAACCATGTCTGATGAGCACACTGAGCATGTGGACACACAATTTAGTAAAACATCATCTCTTGCTGCTTACTGCGTTTCAGCAGGGGGATCACTGTCAGCCTGCACTAGAATACAGCGATTGACCTAAACTGTCTTCAGTAGCACTAATGAGATCGACTTCAAAGAAGAATACTGTGTTTAACCCTGAAAGGGTTTAGGGGTGTGTGCACCATCTAACGTACCCTACTGCAGGCACTGGTGAAACCCTACAGAAAAATAATAGTAGGGGAGGTGAAGTTGCTCAGTTCCCAGCAGCACGCTTGCTCTCTGCTGGTTTTAAGTTTTTGTTGATGGCATAGCATTGTAGACTGAATAATGGCAGAGAATGTGCAAAACAGTTTTATAATAACATAAAGAGTTAAACTCTTGAGTACAGAATTATTATTGCTTGTAAATCAATTGTCAAAAGTATATATTGTGTTGATGATCTTACTATATTGCTATTGCAGTCAAATATATGCCATTTTCTACCTGTATTCTGCGCCTGCTTTCTGCTTCAGTGTTCCTCAAAGCTTTGTTTTCTTTCTTTCCTTACTGACCCAACAGAATTAATGCAGTTCATATTGTTTATGCTTGGTTCTTTTTTATTCTTGGTGTTAATGCTTGGTAAGTTAAGCCAGGAGAAAAAATGTAGCCTTTATTGTAAAAACTGATTTGTTGGAGCTGTAAGATTATTTTTTTCCCCTTCCTTAAAATGGGTTTCCTTCATCTAATTTTCTCCACAGTGTTTATTCTCCTTCTTTTGTGTAATTTTATCAAATATAATAGGAGCTTGAAAGGTTTGAAAACAGATTTTTTTTTTTCTTTATAAATGTTCTCTTCCTTTATATCAGATACCGTCTTTGTGTCACAGGGTTTGCATAAGTTGTAGGTTTTCTAGTAAAGAACTTTGTGGCTTGCTATAGTTGAGACTGCTAGACACTACTACATTTTGAGTGATGAAGAGTAATAGTAGTAAGATAAAACATACGAGCTGTCATCCTCAATGCTATAATGAAAGGGTTGTGTTGTAGGTTTGTTTTATACAGGGACTCCACTGCTTTTCTGTCCATTTTCTAAGAGGCTGATAGCAAGTAGTGGAGGGGGAGGGAGTTAAGTTTCAGAAGTTTATTTGGGCTTTATGTTTTTCTGTAGATGCTTACATCACAGATCTGAAGCAGGTGGCAGAAACAGCGTCCAGACAGATCAGTGGAGCAATGAAGGTGAGATCTCTGTGTGGTCCAAGAGGATATTCTTTTTATTTTCTTGATCTGATAATATGTCACGAAATAGAAGTTCTGACTCATCTGGGTTATAGTTTTGTACAAAAAAGCCTGCATCTGTACTTTTGAAGCAAGTACATCTTTAGATTTGGACTGCTGAAGTTGTATCTGCAAAGCATTCCCCCTCCTCGCATGGTAACAAGGAAGATTTCCCTGTGGCTATAGGAAATACTTTTTACAGAGATTTTAGAACCTACCACATCTGAGAAATAAAACCACTTTTGAAGACCTGTACAACTTCATATAGCACGTGATGTCTATTACTTCAGTACCAGCTTAGACATGAACTGGGGTGTTCCTGTGATACTTATTCAGCTTAGAGATGTAATGAAGGTGTATTTAAACTTGGCACACTCTTTTCCATGGCCTCTGAGTGCAGGCCCTGGTCACTGTTAGGCTGGTAGCTCTGAGTTCCCAACCTTCACCTGCCATCCTCAGGATCATCTCTGCAGACACGGAAGCTTTTGTGCCTGTCAGAATCTAATTAACATACTTCATTGATTGTAACCATTACTTTTCCCATGTAACTTGAGATACTTGGGTTTGTTTCTGCAGTCTCTCCCAGCACTAATAGAAAGAGCAGAAGGTTTTTCCCAAGCATTAACTTGGCAGCCAACCTTGGAACTCTGCAAGCTGCGGCAAGAAGTCTTTGCTGGTTGCAAGGCGAAGGAGGAAAATAATGTCCAAGATTTCATATCACCAGGAGAAGTCACACCAACAGACGCTGATATCAGTAAAATTCCTTATGTTTTGCTAAAAAGAAAAAAAGCTGCAGATTCACCAGAAAGAAGACGCTACCCACTTCGGCGGAGGAAGATTACTCTCTACACATGAATCAGATTGGATTCTCAGTTGTACTCTTGTTCAGTGTGCTCAGTCTTTTTTCTTAAAACTTGGTCTCCCTGTAATTCAGTGCTATACATGGGAGCTTCCTTAATTATTTAGTCTTCAATCCTTTTAAATATTTCTATTTTTACTGTAACTGATGGTCTATGAAGGCCTACACATACCAGTAGCATCCAATACCCAGCCATTGTATTTGAAGACTAACTCTCCTTTTTTTCTCTTTTATTACAGCATTTAGCTGGAGTCCCCGTACTTCTCAGAGTTTGTGCACATGCTTTATGTATGTGGGCAGTCTTTTAGTAAACCACTAAGTGCTCATTTACATTAAGCATGTCTCTAAAGAGGTTGGAGAATGGCTAGTTCTCCTAACGCACCTTAGTTTATTACAGAATCAGGTGGCTATTTTTTTAATAAGTAAGTTAAAAGTAAAGTCACACTGGAGCATATTGAAAACACCAGATTTGATATGATGTTAGTTTTTAGAAAATCCACATGCGAATGTGACATTGGTCCCTACAATTCCACCTTTCCTGAATTTAGGTCAGAAATTAGGCTTATTTTTAGCCGTGTTTGTTTAAACTTGGATTTTTAGTAGTTGTATATATTTACTTGCAGTGTAGTCTTCTGAACAAGGATTCAACCACTCACATCTTACCATCTGATATTTCATTTCATATAAGCCAATTATGCAGTCTGGGGGTTTCCTGGACAATATTTCTACACATTACAGGATCTTGACTTGGGTCATGTATGTATCTGTGATATTTGACTGAACTTCAGACATCAGTATGGGCTACCAGTAAATGGTATTAAGTTGAGCTAGCTTATTTTATTTTTTCTTTACATTTGAGTACCTAGACAATTGCACAGTAGCACTAAATTGAGCATTGTGCCTTAACCATAACTTTTTCTGTTTTATGGTTGCATGTGCTTACAGTAAATACTCATGTCTAATATGTAATGTATTTCTCACACAGTAAATGGACTTCTTTAGAAGCTTTATTAATGAAATGTACTGCAGTAAGAAGACAGGTCCAACTTAATGCCCCAGAGACTGAAAATTTTCAAGAAAACGTGTGACAGATTTTAGCATCATTTGTTTTGTAAAAGTGAGCATCTGTATTGAGACTTTGTATATATAATAATATGTAAATATTTGTTTCTTGTCACTCGTGTATATACAAACGTGTTTTTATACAAAGGAAATTAAACCAATTAAAGAAGATCAAAGTTTCAGGTAATGTTGTCAGTTCTGATCCTGAAATAGATGGTGACTGAACAGTGAGTCTACTTCAGAAGACATCTGTGTTAAATTTTGGCTCAAGTAACTGAAGTAGTTCCATTACCGCCTTTGAACTCACAACTGTTATTAATCTCAAGGCTACAAAGCGTCTAATGTAAGAGAGGACAGGATGTGAGAGGGGCTGGAGCTGTGAAGCAGTGGAACGTGTGACTGGGACCGTTTTTCACAGAGCAACTTGCTATTCTAGCTGCTTTGAGGACGCGTGCTCTGTGCTGCGTTGAAAATCCACGCCATGGCTTTCTTCACCAAGATCCACAGATACTCTAATCTGAGTGTTCCCAGAGTGAGGTGAGCCCTGCAAGATCTTACATGGCTACTGTTAACAGGAATTGAATGCTTTCTATGTTAATAGGAGGATTCCCCGCTACTTTCTGTGAATAATGATAGGCAATTAGAGAAAATAGCTAGGAGCAAGCACATCTCTTTGAAGTGGTCCCATCAAAAATGGCCAAGGTAGGACAAACGTCTTAAGAAACAAGGAGGGAGAGCACTGTGGATTAAGACTTAATAAGTGAATTAATGAACTCTCCCTACAGTGCGCGTTAGTGTTAAGAGATTGCAGGATAGTTGGGTGTGCATGGATTTGAAGGAAGTGGGAATGGATGCCCTGAGCTAGGGCAGCCGGGCCTTGCTTCAACCGCAGCTGCCTGGAAACAGAAAACAAATGCACCTGGAAATGCTGGCCAAATAGTGTAAAGACAGAGAAAATATTCCAAGTGCATCATATAAACTATGAATTTACAAATATCTGATGGCTACTTTTGGCCGAGTGGCCATGGAAGGTGTCAGAGGACCTCCCTTTAAATGCAAGTTCTGTGCTGAGCTAAACTCAACACTTGAATACTCAGCTGTTTTGAAAATGATTTTTTAAAATTGCTACAGCAAGTGATAGGGATCTGTTCTTCCCACTAGCAGAAATATATGAAATACTTAATTTTTTCCCATTCCAGTAGCCTTTTGTCCTTCAGTTAACTTTTCATAGAAATCAGCACCATTGTGCAAGACAAGTGTCTAAGTGGGCTTCCACTGAAATGTCACAACATCCAAACTTCTTATTTTTAACTTGGGGCGAATTGGTATTGCATCAAGAAATGTCTGGTAGTTTTTCTTTATATAGCTTTTGAATTTTGTAAGACAGCTCAGTGGTGATGGATACTTGAGAATTTGTTTGCAAACCGAGTTTGAATTTCTTGGCTTTTTGGGGCGAGATGGAACATCTTGCTGTGTGTTAGCACGTGCTGTCAGCGACGTGCTTATCGCTCCTGAGGGCGGGCCATCCCTGCCCAAGAAAAACTCGCCAGCTGGAGCAGTATCCACGCACGCCCTTGCTGTGCGTCGTTTCTGAACAAAGGGAGTTACAAACAGCATGCGGGGAAGCTCCTCTTCCAGAAGCCTCCATGTGGACACAGACGTCTGTTTGGGAGCTTGGGCGCACTGGTGCTCTGAAACCCAGTTCTGACACGTGCCGTTCTGCGGAAGAGCCGCGCTGTGCTCAGCTGCCTTCAGCGACTCTAGTCTGCATGTGTGTAGGCTTCTTCGGTAGAGACAGAAATCACTGATAAACTGCCATTCTAAAATGTAAACTCAGCTGACTAGACTCCTTTCTGGGCTTGTTTTCTCTCCTGCATAGAAAAACTCTCTGCCTTTAGTGCAGCGTTACCTGGAATTACTGTGTAGGCATTTCTACAGATGTACCAGAGATAGCTTTAATACTAAGCAGAAACTTGTTCCCACAAGCAAATTTTGACTTCTCATTTCCTTTGCCACTTTGAACAAGAGCAGACTGTATTCAGGCTCAAGGGGACCATCCTGCGACTCTTCCCATACTTGTGGGATCCTGGAAGCCTTGCGCTACAGCTGCTGGGAGTTAGTCTGTGAAGTAGATATTTGTTTGGTACTCCTAACTCCTGGGTACGCTGCTTGGGACTTGGTGCTGTCGGTAGCCTGCTTGTGCAGTGGCTGTTAACGGCAGCATTGCTCCTGGCACAGCATGAGAGCTTCACGTGGGGTGGGTTCAAAGCCCCTCAGGGGAAGGGGGCTTTTTCGCCCCACAGATCACTCTGAAGGGCTGTTGAGGTATTTTGTCTGCATGGTTCATAGATTTTATTGCAAGAGAATATACCTGTTCCCTGATCCTATGAAAGTACCAGCTTCTAGTCCTGTTTATTTCAACTGTGCTTAAGCTACAAAGGCAGCAAGGAGCCCTGTGCTCTCTTTTTGAGCAACTGTCCCAACTAAGTCTCTGCTTGTACCCCTATTTGTCCTCATTTTCTTTAACTGCGTGATGTGTAATTAATGCAAGATTGGATTGTTTCAAAGGAGCAAGTGAGAGCAATTAATTCACTGTCTCATTTCTCTCTGGCAGCTCGGGCTGCCTTCCAGGAGATGTTGGTTTGGATCCTCTCAGCTGGAGAAGGGCACCACACCCCCGCCTTCTGCCACCTCTGTGAGCACCCCCTCGGTGAGGATCCTGGTGTCAGCACATTGGATGTCAGAGGAAGGGAGAAGCCAGACTGCCTTTAAAGAACCCAGGGGGCTGGGAACGTCCTGCAAGATGCTTGGGAGACCCAGAGCAGGCTGGGGACGCAGGTGAGGTCAGGGCACCTCAGCGAGGGTGCCCATCCGAGCTGTGGGTCTCTGTGGCTGTTGGGGCAGGGAAGGCTCACGGGTGGGTGCTCAGTCCTCCAGGGTCAGAGGAGCTCTGAGAAAGTACAAAAGCAAAGGTGTGGGTAGCTTGGAAGGTGGAGACACAAGCTGCTTTAAAGTGGAACAGCTGGGGAGGAATGCCTCCCACCGGCAAAGTCCTGCTCAGGTTTTTCAGTAACTCAGATGGTCCTGGAGCCTACCAGGAAACCTGTGGCAGAATGCAGAATTCAGCTTGACTCCTGGACTCTCAGGCAGCACGGTTCTCTCACATTCAGCACGAACTGTTTGCCAGATTTTCCTGAAAGGATAGTCTATATTTACTCAGTTTGCAAACTTCGTAACCTCATCTTCATCTAAGCTGGATGACTCAAACTTCTGGGGAAACCAGAAAAATAGAGAAGTATCCCATTTATGAAGATACCTGAGGCTTTACAACTGACTGCCCTGCAGTTGGGGGGGCACTCGACCCTGCTAGAATTGCTGTGCATTTACCCCTGGGGGTTGAGCACAGCCAGGAGTGCACCTTAGTTCCCACCTACAAACGTATCTCCGGTAGAGCAAGGACGTCGTTGAGGTACCTGTCGGTGCAAACCTCTTCCTTCGGAACGGAGGGCCAAGATTAGATTGTTCGATTAGAATGTGAGGTGTTTGGATGGGTGAAAGAAACGTTGTTCAGCCCGTTGAAATACTCTGGACAGAATAGTGGAACAGAGAGATTTTTGCTGGCGGTAACTGTTCTCAGCAGTCCTTGTCCGGCTTCGCTTTTACAGGAAGCCTGTGGCGTTTCCTTGTTATTTAAGGGAACAGGGCGAGTCGCGAAAGTGAAAATCGCTTCATCCCGGCACCGAGGCCGTGCCCTCACACCCCTGAGCCCTGGCCGAGCCGGCGGCCGCTTCGCCGGGGCTCCCGCCGCCTCCGAGAGCCGATGTGGCGGGCGGGAGCGGCCGGGGCTGGGCGGAGGGGCGCGGCGGGGGGGCCGCGCCGGCTCCCGGGGGCACGGCTGGGGAGAAGAGAAACTGCGGGGCGGTTCATTTCTTCAGGCGAAAACGCGGGTCGGGCCGCCCGGAGGGGCGCCCGGGTCCAGCCGGCCCCCGGGGCTGGGGCTCTCCGGGGGATTTTCAGGCGGCTGCTGCCCGGCAGTGCCGTGCCCCCGGGGGTGCGGGCTTTCCCCCGGCTCCCGAGGGCTGAGCAGACGCCGCAGTCCCGCGGGGACACGAGCTATTGCCGGCGTGGGGAGAGGGCTCAGACCCGGAGCGGGTGTGTGGGGGGGGGGGGGGGGGGAAGATCTGGGCCGCCCCGGGGCCCCCGGGCGCCACGTGAGGGCCACGCGGGGGCCACGCGGGCGGCGCGGAGCGGCGCGGAGCGGGTCTCCCGCGGCGGTTCGGCGGCTCCGCCCCCGGGCCGGGGGATGCCAGGTGCCGGGGCGGTGCGTCCCCTTCCCCGCCCCGGCCCGCCCTCCCTCCCCTCCCCTCCCACCCCCGGCGGGCCGGGGGAGCCCAGCGGCGCCCCGGGGCGGCTCCGCAGCCGGCGGGATGTCGTGTGGCGTCCCGGCGGCGGCAGCGGGCAGCGCGCTGGCTCGGGGCGCGGCGGCCGAGGGCAGCCAGCAGCAGGTAAGGGCAGGGCGGAGGGGGCTCGGCGCTGCGGGCGGGAGGGCACACGGGGCCGAGCCGCGCAGCGCCGTGACGGCCGGTGCCCGCTCCCCGGCTCTCGGCCCTTCCCTTTCCCGGGGGGGCGGCTGCGGGGCCGGCTCTTCCAGGTAGGAGGGCGGGCGGTGCGCTCCGCGGTTGTGGCCCCGACGCGGGCGGGCTGGAGGGGAGCGGAGCCCGGTTTTTGCCTCCCCGCTGGCTCCCACGTTGGCGCCGGGGGGAGGCGGGTGTGAAATGCTGCCCGTCGGGTCCCCACCGCGGGTGACGGGGGTGCTCGTGTTCCGCCATCAGCGGCAGAGCCGGAGCCGGCGGGGCGGCCCCCCCCCCCCGGGCGTCTCTGCCGTCTCCCAGCCCTGTGCGGCGGGGCAGGGGGATGCGCTGCCTTTTGCAGGCACCGTGCGGTCTGTGGGAGGCCTGGGGTAGGTGCTGTGAAATTGGAAGTACGCGCTCGTTCTCAGAAAGAGCCACACGCCCGATTTCGGGTGTCTCCGTGTGCACCTTAAAAGAGAGCAAAGTGTTTCTGGCTTCTGTATTCCAGAGTCATGAAGAAGATGACAGGAAGGTAAGGAGGAGAGAAAAAAATCGAGTTGCTGCACAGAGGAGCCGGAAGAAGCAAACTCAGAAAGCAGATAAACTTCATGAGGTGAATGGGTACTTGATGTTTTGCTGGCACACTGGGGTACCGAGCGCGGGACCTTATGATAAATGGGACTTCATGATAAATGGGACTTCTTCAGCAGGCACGGGCCTGTCTTCACACTAAGGCAGCTCAGAGAGCTGTGGGTGTGAGGCAGAGGCAGGCGTGCTGCAGGGTGCCGGGCCGGGAACTCCCGGACACTGATGCTCGTGTTGGACAGGGCAGCTCTGCCATCGGTGACACTGCCTGAGGGAGAGAGACGTGGTCCTGCCCTCGCCTCACCCTCCCTCTTTTGCTAACCCCGTGACCACCCTGTGAACCAGACCACAGGGCTCCTTCTGGGCTAAACAAACCCATTTTCTCCCGGATTAGTGTTAAGCTTGTCACATTTGCTATGGCGGTGGATGAATGCTTACTGCCTCACGAGGGAGAAGGCAATGGAGGAGGTGGGGACTGTGCAGCTTAGTGGCAATGATGGCTTAAGTCAGTTCTAAAACTATGGTGTGAGACAGAAATACCCGGCTGAAAAGGCTTCTTAGGAACTTCAAAACCTCCAAGCGTGAGAGCTCGGTTCAGTTAGCTGTTATACTTGTATGCTCTGATAAATAACAGTGGGTGTTTCCAAAAAAACATGAAAGTAACTGATTCTTCCAGAAACTCTTAATACTTCTCAATATCACCATGTGGTATAGTTTTCTCTGGTCCCCAGTGCAAATGCTGGAGGACAGGAATCCCCTTTCTCTGGTTTAGGATGTTACCTCACACAACAGTGCTTTTGTTGTAACCACAGCACTGGGGGTAAATATTAGTTCTGCTGCTGTCATTGTGACTGAGCCAGTTGTTCAGCACGGGCTTTTCTCTTTCTCAGTGTGGAAGGATCTGCCGACAGTCAGGAAAGGCCAAGAGAGGGACAGTGTGGGGAGTTTTGGGTTTGTATTTTCCCAGATCTCCTCTGAGTCAGCGCCTGAGAAAGCCAGGTGCAGGGTGCTTCTGGAAAGGGGTAGCCCCTGGCCTTTGTGGAATCATTGCTGGTCCTGTGACTTCCTGCAGCCTCTCTGATGTTCCTCCTGACCTTGAGGATCTTCCTCATGCTGGGAATCTTCATTCTTGGGCAGGCATGTTTTCCCAGGTGCAGGCAGATCTAGTTGAATAAGAATTCATTCTTAGCAAGAGCAGTTTGATAGCCTCATCCCTGAAAAAGGGACAGGGCAATGGGAGAATAACACTCCAGAACTCAACCCCGTGGGGTTTGGAGCAACAAGAGGTGAGCAGAACCAGAGTCAGAGATGGACAACTTTGCTGAAGTTGGCTTCCATAACGTGTTAGGAGGACCATGCCTGTTTTACTCTGTGCATGGGAGAGGTGGTGGGTGATGGAAGGGTGTGAGGGAGGGCAAGGAGATCCAAACTCGTACAGCGAAGGGCAGCAGAGGCAGTCCCAGGCTGCCCAGAGGAGCACTGCATGAGAGGCTCTCCCTACTGCCTCCTAAACAGGCCTTTTAAGGCATGTGTAGGCTTTGAAGTTTGCTCTGAAGCTTTCCCGGGGAGGTGAGATTGAGTGGGTGAGTGTTGAGGCCCAGGCCAGCAGCGAGGTGCAGACACCTGCAGGTTTTCCGTGGGCTGGCTCTGAACCTCTAGAGCTCTTCTCTTAGGGATGAGAAGGCTTGACAGCAGGGGACACTTGAGACATGCAGTTATCAAAAAATGTGACACGCGAGTCTCACATCCGTCACAGATGTATGCTGCAGAGCATCTCAAAACTCCCCTGCAATTAATAGCAGCTTATTCATTGCCAGAGGAGCCTTAGCTCAAAAGCAGCACAGGTCAAGGATAACCAAGGCAGTGGGCAGGCCTTCTGGTGATGAAGCAGGGCTGGGAAGAAGCTGGCAAGATGCTCCACTCCTCCTGCTCTCGAGTTCCCGGGCATCTGAGCAGACGGCTGCAAGCCCCGGCCAGCCCGGAGGGATGTGGCTGGCACCGGACTCGTTGCGCGGGGTGTGCCTCTCAGCCAACACCTGGGTAAATGGCCTGTCCCTGCGCTGGCCCGGGCAGGGACTGCCCTTCCCTCACCGGTAATGCCAAGCACTGGGTTTTCCCAGCACTTACCTGCAGTCGGTGCTTTCATTTTCTCTGCTCTGACAGTGCAGAGCTGCCTTGCTCAGACCTTCCCAGCAGGGCTGGAAGAGGCCACTCCGGGGACCCAGCCACCCACACCTGCAGCCCTGGGGCTACGGGGCACCCCCAAGGACCAGCAGCACCTCTCAGTCTTCAGGGCCATGAAATGAATCGCAGCGTGGTCAGGGCACAGGTCGTAAACCACTTGCGCTGCTATAGCACCCAGGCTGTGTCTGTCTTTCTTTAGCATTTTGCACATTGTAGTAAGCAACCACGCAGTTTTTCTACGGTTACGTGAACATACGCAAGGTGGAAGCACTGAAAGGAGTGTTTTGACTATGAGTAGGCTTTTTTTTTGTTTTCTCCTTCCAGGAATATGAGTCTCTTGAGCAAGAAAATACCTCCCTGAAAAGAGAAATAGGAAAGCTAACAGATGAAATGAAACACTTGAGTGAAGTGTTGAAGGATCATGAAAAGATCTGTCCACTGTTGCACTGCACCATGAACTTTGTGACCGTCCCAAGGCCTGATGCACTCGCCAGCTGCTTGCCAAGATGAGACCACTCCTTGACCAGCTTTAAATGCGAGGTGTGAAAGTGCCATTAACCGGGGAGACTTGAAGAGCTGCCTACTTACCGTGCAGGTCTTCCACTGAAGAGGGCTGGACTTGACCATGCAGCTCTTTTCTACATTGAAGTCTCTGAATCTCAGGAAAACACCAGTATGGAAAAAAGACAACTCGAACTGCGACTTCTTATTTGGTAGAATCTTCGAGCCACGGTTTTGCATTCAGAAATGTCAAAGTACGGTGCAGCCCACCATTGTGCGATGGAATGTAGTCAGGGAAAAGTACCGACCTTGGGCTGGGATGCCTTTCTTCCACATGTCCACTGCCAGTAACCCTTTGTCACTTGTCATCCATGTATATCATGTTCTGGCTGCTGTTTGTTTTTCTCTAAACAGGTTTGGCTAATAAAAGTGATGTCCCATCTTTATGATGTTCTCCACCTTCCTCAATAATCAATGTCTTTATAACATCTTTACTTTTTTCATACTGGTCAAATCCAAAGTCTAATGCTAATCTTCCTGTCAGTTGTTTTATTATTTGCTTATCGCCTCTTCATTGATTCCTCTTTTGAAGTGTGTGTAACAAATGAGTTTTCCCAGTCTTTATTTCTTTAATATCCCTGACCCTCAGCCCTGCTGACATTAGTTCTTGGAGTGTTTTATATCCTAAAATATGGCTTGGCCAATTTCTAATGATGATTGTCTGCTCTCTGTGGAAGAAAAGCAAAACAGAGTTTGATGGTTCTACACATTGTTTTAAAAAGTAGATTTTAAAATCTACTGTTTTGATGCATCCACTGGAAATTAACAAATATCTTTCTCATTCATCTTGCATATTGCTTCTGTTAAATGATATCTGTGAATAGAACAAATTGACTTCAGCTAAGCATTTTGTTCCATATCCACACTGAAGATGTCTGATACTGCTTGCAAGAAAAGTGTTATGTTTTCTTTAATTTTTTTTTTTTTTTTTACGAAAAGGAAGAATTATGACAGTATTAGTGAGAAATACACAGAAAAATGTGTTTACTTTCTCTGAAGCTTCTTAGTAGTGTCTAGCTCTAGAAATGTGAATGCTGTAGCCTGGGATCCGGCAGAGTGTTTTTCTCACAGTATTTCCCAGTCAGAGAGCACCTTTGGATAATAAAAACCTCTACCCCTTTGCCAACTCTCTCACTTCAGCATTTGGATTTTTTTAATTTCAACTCATGGGATTCATTTCTCCTCTCACCAGGACCATAGTATTTATAAGCAATATATGACCTCAAATGTCTAAAAGTTTTGGTTTTTTTTTTTTCTTTTTTAGCTTCTTTCATAGAATGATACATTGCTGATGGCTGCCAAGATAGAATTGGGGAAACTGTGTAGTTAGCTCTGCCTTCTAAAGGGCCCTCTCATGCCATTGTCTTAGGCTAGAAACTCAAGACAACAGGCCTGAGCTGTTGGCTTCTTTAAAATTTTTCATGAGGTCCCCAAGAGAATTTTCAGCATTTGCAGAAGCTATCGACAGCCTAAATGCAGTCTTCAAAGTTTCTTATGGACCTGTAAGAACTGAGTCATTCTGCAGAGAAAAACTGGTACAGTCTCTGCCAAGGAAAATTAAAGTTTCAGGACGCTTCACATTATGCTTTTTGGATAATGTCCTTGATATGATTTGGTGTGTCACCCTTAAGAAAGGAAGCTATCTTAAGCATCTTCATCTACCCATGCACATTCCTTCAATCGCTGGATGCCACTGTGTAACTTAGGCTGAGTAGAGGTGTAAGGGAGAAGGAGGCGTGTGGTGGAAATGAACAACATTCACTCTGGGAAAATTCATTGTAGCTTAGGGCAGAGGGAGAGAGCAAGCGGATGTCTCGCAGCTCTTAACTAAGTATGTGCAGCTGAGCTGAGGCTGGGAATGCAAAGTAGTTGAGTTCAGGGGTGGTGCAAAAGCATGGTCTCTCCTGTGGAGCCCTGCAGACCCCCAAAAAGGGAAGGAAAGGTCAACCACCTTGTCCAGGACAGTCCATCCCAGCAGAATCCTCCTAAGGATTTTGTTTCACAGGTGCTTTCTTCTAAAAGAAGAGGTCTGGTTCCCAGTGTAAACCCCTCCTTCTTACACATATATTCTTCTCAACATCTGTCTAGAAACTGGCTGCAGCTTACCATTCCGTAGTCCAAGATCTATTGTACACTCTTCATCAGTAAGCACTCTGGTTGCTCTGCAATGCAAGCTTTGGTCCAACGTGTTTCTGCGTTGGAGTTTATTAATTGTATAATGTCTATGCAGAGTGCACAGGGGAAGACTGCTGAATTCACAGCAACATTGTGTGCTGGCAACAGCAACCTAATTCCAAGGCTAAGCTGCTACTCCCTGGAAGGGCTGGGTGCCCTGCAGAGACACTCGCTGCCACCAGTTCCTTCCCACAACCGCAGGGTGTAGCTCCAGCCTGTGCATCATGTCCATTAGCAACAGCAGGCTCTGAACCCTCTGGGGCCTCGGCTGCTTCTGCCTCCTGCATCTATTGCATCACTGGTTTTCCCAGCACTATTTCCAAAGGGCCTTATGCATCTTTTTTCTGTTTAATAGATTAACCAAGGCATCTCTCACAAACAGTATATTGTGTGGCTAATCTTCAAAGGCAATTTGGAACCCCAAGAAAAAGAAGTCAGTAAAATGAATGTCCCAAGTCAAATAAACCCAACGTTCTCATATATTTATAGAATTAATGTCATAGCTGAATCATGGGTCAAAGGGACAATGAACCCTTAAAGCGCTGGCTTATGTATCCCTAAGCAAATAATATGCATACAGGCTGACTACAGCCTTTGTGGGAGCTGTTCATAAGGATATTGATTTACAGTGTTTCAAAACCGAAAGTATGTTCTGGAGCCTGGGATAATTGTTACATGAATAGGGAACCAGAAAGGAGAACAGAAAGGAAAAGGCCCTTTTGTTAAGGAAGCGACAGAAAGTTTGTTTTCAAATCCAAACCTCTCCTTTTGCAGCAGAGTATTACACCATCACAAAAAATGTTTCATACCTATATATGGCTAAAATACTGCTTGATGTATTCTAGGTTCAGAAAGCTTCCAGTTAGTTTGATTTGTTCCCTATAACTGTGGTCTGTATTACATTCACATGATCTTCAGGCGCAGGTATATAGGGAAGATCTTTTCTATGTTCAGATGGTGGTTCATGTGAGGAGTACTGTGAATTACAGTCTTGTTTGTGGATATGTAATGTAGATGAGGGTTGCCAAGAAAGCTGGATTTTGCCTCTTACGTTCACAATGAAGGTTACAGTTTGTCTAGATTTGGTTAGTGTGGATTTCCTTTCTGTATTTTCTGTGAGTCTACTGAAGAAGCAAAATGCTCAGTGCAAACTTAGCCACAGATAAAAGTATTAATTCCAGGAGCAGACTGGGTCCAATTCAGCTATTTGTCTATTCATTTCTTTCAGTTGTTGTTGGGTCAGATTTAAACTGGTCACATTTTGAAAAGGTAATTTTAGCCTCTAAAGGTAAAGAAATCAATAGAAAGACAAAGTCAAGCTTCCCCAAACTGCTAGTGTGAGTATAACAGAGGTCAACTATTATACCTCAAGAGAGCTGATTAGAAAGTTGTGCTCCTTCCCACTGATGTTTTACATGTATATCTGAGAAGATTTATAAGTGTCTTCATGTACTCATCCAGCATTTTGCTAAAAATACACCTTTTTACAAACATATTTAAAACATCCTATTCTACAGACTTCCTATTCTTTTCCCTGGTACCTTTTACTGTCATCTGCTGCTCCTTCTGCAATATCTGCTTATCTCAGCTGCATTTGCTATTTGCAGTAGCCTTGTATTCTCTCACCATTTTATTCCAATGCCAATTTTTTTCCTTCTTTCATATTTCCTTCTGTTCCTATGTAGATTGGTGACAACATCGCTTAATGTTATCGGTATTAGAGGAACAAGGCTAGTGTGAAGGAGCATATAGAAACTGAACTTCACTGATACACCCTGAATATGATTAAAGGCTTTTATGTGTGGCTAGTTTTGTTAGTTGAATATTAAGGAAGGTGCCTGTGCAGTCTTTTAAAATGTACTTGAAAGTGACATAACCTTTGCTGTAGCCTATAAAACCCATACTGTTTCCTGTCCATAGATGAATGCTTTGCTGCATGGCATTTGGGGTTTCCATCTGTGAATCAGTCTAGAATTTCTGCCTCAGTGAAAGTGATAGATAAAACAACCATTAAAAAAAAAAATCCCTTTTCTCTTCTTCCCATCAGTGCAGTGATATAATTCCTGTCACAGGAAGGAAGCATGTCTGATAAGCAGGAGAAGTGGTGGGTTTATTTACTGTTACAAAGACTACTGTTATTCTCTTTATAGGAAGGTAATTTTCTGTTTGTAAACCCTGGGTTACTGTCAAGTGGTCACTGGAGAAACATTTTACATGTACATACAGCATGTGGTGTAGGCACACATCCATAAGGGAATGAAAGATTTTAGATTGATTCTTTGCAGAAAGGTGGGGTTTACATTGATTTCACTGGAAGTAGAAACAGTCCTGCAGCTGCTTCAGACGACATGTGGCACTATGCTTACTAACTTGGGTAATATTTAACTCAAGAATAGCTACAGGCTAACTTGAAGTGGGTAATTCTTAATAAGGAAACCATAGCAACAATCATCCCTGTGATTGCGTGCTCCTTTTCTGGTACTCATTGAGGTTTTTTCCTAGATAGTTCCTATGGAAAAAATCCATAAGAATAGAGTAGGAATTTTTTTCTCCCACTGTAGAATTTTTAAACCATGACATTAAATGTAAGGGCTTGACTATTCTGGAAATAGCTGGCATAGCTTTTGTAAATTAGCTAGTCTCTACTAGTTATGTGTTTGGTCTGCTGTAAGGGAATCATTATAGTTCCCTTTAGAAGTGGATAAGCTAAACCACAAAGGGCTGTCTTGGTATAGAATGAAAACACTCATTTGAGGAGTTAGTACCGAATGACTACTGTGCTTCAATTTCACTGCTTATCTCATCCTGAAGCAGATTGTTCATGTAGCCAAACAGAAAATGATATCTCTAATAGGTGTGTTTGGTGTGTTTGTTTTAAATCTGCATTAGAAATTCTTATTGCAAGTGTTTAGTAAATTCTATAGACTGCCAGTATAGCCTGCTGCACTCACCTGGGTACTGTCCGATTAAGTCTACCACAGATTGTTCCCATCAGAACTCAGTTCTGGATAGATGTCTCCAATTATCTGGAAGAACTTTCTCCTTTAACTGTCTCATTATGAACTTGTTGTCATGTTTTCATTATTCTAAATTATTAGAATGTTAAAACTCTTGAGATTCTAAACAATGGTCATAAGTAATCTCTCTTGGGATTAGCAAACTATTAAGGTTTGTCTTCCCATTGTAAAGTAAATCTTGAGAATACTAATTTTTTATCTGTTTTAGGTAATATAATTGAGGATAAGGAATAAACAACAAGACTCTGCAAATATTCGATGCAATGCTATACAAGATACAATTACTTGGAGATGATGCGAAGCAGTACAAGAATTTAAAAACAACCAGAGAACTAGCTGAAGGAAAATGACAATAGTTTGTTTTGAAAAGGGAGCTATCGGGCTAAAGATGGGTTTATAAGTGGATGTTCTCAAAGATTGATCACAGACCACTCTTGTTTACTATCTTTGGTAAGGACTTTGGATACAAAGGAACCATTAATACAGAAGAAGATTGAAATATCATGCAAAAGAAACTGCATGACCTTGCAGAAGAGAATAGAAATGCCATGACAATTAATCATAGAATCATAGAACAGCCCAGGTTGGAAGGGACCTCAAAGGATCATCCGGTCCAACCTTTTGTGGTAAGGGGAACCTATGTGAGATTGTCTAGCACCCTGTTATGATGCAAAGTATACAGTCACAAACTTGAAGAAC